ATATTGAACCAGCAGAGGTCGTTGTTGGTTTTGAAGCTTCAGGGACTGAAACTGTAGTAGAACTTGAGTCTTGCTTTCCTGTAGTAGTCGCAACTGATGTTGACGTAGTTGGTGCTTCAGTTGTTGTTGAAGAAGATGTAGACACTGTAGTTGTAGTTGTAGTTGTCGTTGTAGTTGTATTTGTATTTTTCCTCGAGGATACATCGCCGTTTACTTTAATCAAAGAACCTTGAGCAACTGTGCTTGTAGTTGCTAGAATTGAAAAGGTAAAGAAGAACACCAAGGTGAGGCAGCGCATTCTAATATCTCTTTTATGAATTGGTGCCTCAGACGAGAAAGACAGTCTTTATATAGTTCATGTGCTAAATTAAAATGAAATAAGAGATTGCATGCGACAAAACCATTGGTGGAGAGCATAGATATTTCGTGGAATTGGACTAATCATTGCAGTAAAATGTTATTGGTTCCGCAGTTGTTAGACGCAAAATTCACATAGTTTTAAAAAAAACAATACATCAAAAATCGCAATTTGATCAGTGAAAAGTTGATGTCACCAACGACAAATTCTTACTGATCATTCGTAATTATGTCTCAGACTTGAGGAAGTCCATGTGAATTATTGATGAAATAAATAACATTTGAAGCCATATGCGACTGAATCTACTATTGCCTAACAACAAATGAGAATGAAGCAGAAATAAGAAAGTAGAAGAATGATTTTAATTGATATATTTCTAAAACCTCTAAAAACTTATAGAACGGAAATTCACAGTTTGACCGCCAAACAGTTTGTATTTTAGCACAGACTTATCCCAAAGGCATTTGATATTGGTTCTTGCATATTTCAATGCCGAAAATTTTTACACAAATTTAAAGGATAGTTGGAAGACGTCGTGGTGCAATTATTTCTATTATTATTATGAGAGGAATTAATGGTATGATGTCTTGAAATTAAAAAATGTAGCATTTGGAGCCTTTACCACTTTGTATTTTGCAAAGTTTGCAGATAAAATGAATGCAGTGCTTGATTGAGACTGAACAATTAGAAGGTGCTTTAAATATCGCTCATCGTGCAGTCAATAGCACACAAGGGTCACAAGAGAGTATGGCACTCAAAATGTAAACGTTATGAATACTGTGAGACATCATTGAGAACCCTTTTTCGGTAATTATTTTGCATTACCATGATCATCTCTCACTATTGGCTTTCCTTGGTGGCACGCCTTGAATGTAAACAAAAATCTATATACGATAGAAGATCACCTCAATTGTATATTTGCATTTAGCACTCTATGCAGAATTTAATTTGAAAATAAATTGGTGAAAATATTAGATGAGGAGTGTGCGATGGACTTACCTCCGCGTAATGCACCCTAGACAATATATACTCATATGGTAAAAATGCTATAAACCAGGAGCTGACTTATGACTTCAAACTGGCATGACCCCACTGTGTGTCATATTCGACCACTTCCACAGTGTTCACCCCACCTTTATCTCCACCTTTGTGCCAGTTTCTTATATCAGTTGATTGCTCTTCTTTTCCCCCTCTTCACTTTTTGGCTTTGTCTGTTCCTCCTCTCTGTAAAGCCCGAGGCCAACTAAAGGTCGAATGGTAAACATCATAAATCCTGCCATTTGATATAATTAAATATATTAGATGTGTGTTTGACTACTAAGATGAAATGGTCTGACTTACGAACACTTTGAGATTTAATTTAATGAACAATTAGCTAAGCTGATCTTTAACTTTATTACCAAAA